ACATCTTTTCCTCTTATCTCTCAAGTAGACACATACTTTTGTAAAATGCTACTCATAGTTCAAGTTCATACAATTCAAGTGTATTGACATCAGCCCCCACCCTCTTGAGATCTCGGGTTGGGCAGCTGATGTGGCGATTTAATCTGGTGCATCAAAATGTGGCGCTTTTCTAGTTTAATGGTCAAATGGATGAATTAGGCTATAAAACTTAATGTACAAGGGTTTTTTTTGGGTTTCTTAAACATGATGGTGGGGTAAGAGTGGTCAAATAAAGCTTGAATGATAGAGATCTATGCTCTAATCAATAAGATTTGCTAAAACATATCTTGGCTTGATAAATAGTCAAACAAAGGAAGTTTGGGATGAAATTTGGTGGGTAGGCAGTTTTGGATGTCTTGTATATGATGGAATTTATGGATCTTTGGTCAAAGATGTGGATTGAGAGATTTGGTTTGGGTCCAGGTTTTAGTTTATGGTTTATCAATTATTGAGAATGTTCAAAATTGAATCTCACTTTTGAATGGTTAGATGGGGGAGTTTAGTCATAAAATTTGGCCTATCGGTGGGTTTTGGGTTTTTGAACATGGTGGTGAGGTTTAATTGGTTGAATAGGATCAAGATGATGGAGATATATGGCTGAAAATTTTGGATTATTGAAATAGAACCGTTGCTTGATGAATGGTCAAGTGAAGAAATTTTGGGATGAAATTTGGTGGGTAGGCATTTTTAAACACTTCGATTCTGATGGAAATGATGGATTTATGATCAAAGATATAGATTGAAGGATTTGGTTCAGATCAAGGTTTAGTCTTATAGATCATTGATGAGGGTAGATTTAGTCCTTTACTGACATCATGACATGTGGCATCTTAGAATAGCTGGACGACACCCCGACACCATGTAAGCAATGATTTGCTTTAGCTGAAATCTGACCTAGCAACTTACCTTTGCCGACTAACTAGAGTCCTAGCTGGCGACCTCATTTACAACTTGGGCACCTCGGTAAGGCGACTAGGAACACCTTGTCTAGGGCTGACCTGTGGTACCTCATCGTTACTGGTCCAAATGACTTTGATGCGAGGAGCGACCTTCCTTGAGGACTTGTCGACTCGACTAAGCTCCAAGTGGTGACCTACGAGATGTGCTCGCCGACCTCCTTCGTATATGAATCCCGTCACTCTCGGGTCTTCTGGAAGTCAGCTCCTGCGCTGAATGTTTGGGAGGCACAAAGCCTGGTCTACGTGCACCACTACCTCTGAAGACTTCGACCTGGCTAGCCATGATCTCCCAGAGATCTCAGACGTCGTGCGTGAAGCCCATGCCAAACAACACCTATATATAGGCCTCACCTCCAACCTTACAAAGGTACATACACAATTTAGTTCTTGCATCTCTCCAGCTCTCTCATATTTAGCTATCTTAAAAATCTCTAATACACTGACTTAAGCATCGGAGTGCCCATCCCGTGTAAAGCAACCCAGACACTCTGACAATATTTCCTTGCAGGTCACACTAATAAACTATGTAGCTCACCACCTTCAGCTAGGGATAGTTCATCTAGGTGTCAGAACCACTTTTAGCTAGGCGTTAGAGCCACGTTCAGCTAGGCGTTAGAGCCACCCTCAGCTTGGGACAGTTCAGCTAGGCGTCAACGCCACCTTCAACTAGGGATAATTCAGCTAGGCATCAGAGCCACCTTCTAGCTCATCACCATTCAGCTAAGGGTCTAAGTTGCCTTCCAACTAGGAACCATTCAGCTAGGCGTCTGAGCCACATTCCAGGTAGGGATTGTTTAGCTAGGCATCTGAGTCACCTGCCAACCGGGAGTTGCTAAAACGTGCATCATCAGTCATGAACTAATAAGAAGGTCTAAAATGGAATCTTGCTTGTTTTTGGAGAAAATAGGGGAATCTAAGGCTAGATCTGATGGAATGTTTGTTTTGAAGATTTTAGACTTAGGATATGACTTTTTGTATAGTTTAATCGTAAACTTCAAATCAAAATCTTTGTTTATTGGATGAAAACAAGGGAATTTTGAGTTAAAATTTGGTATGGGAATAGATTAAGTGGGGAGTTAGGTGGATGGTTCCAATTTAAGGGAGAAATAGTTGATTTTGGTTTTCTAGCTCTAGTTGTTCAGGGCCATCAAAATGGAATCTTGGTATTTTGAAGGTTGATTGTCATGGATTCAAGGTGGGGCTTTGTAGGTGAGCTTATTTTAGTGTCTTTAGGGAAATGGACATGTCAAATTTGGATTTATTGAGTCAAAAGTTTGAACATTGCATAAATCGGAACCGTTAATTAAATGGGAGGTTAGTGTGATGAAGTGTAACTAAGATTTAATTTCCAAGTCTAGGAGCAGTGTTTAATCAGATGTTTGATGCTAATTTCAATATTCTCGTTTATCATGTGGATTGCACCAAAAGAGGGAATCTTGGGTTTTAGTAAATCTTAGGTTGGTTTGATTTTATTTTTATGCTTTGGGGTTTAAAAGGAGGGCATAAAGAGATAGGATGAAGAGATTAAGCAAAAAATTGGGTGCTAATAATCAACTTTACCCTCTTTCACTTGATGGATTTCAGCTCGGATGGCAATAATCTCCATAGTGATGTCACCAAACCTATAGTTGTGGTCCCTGAGGGGGACATCGGGCATCGGCTTGGGTGTCTCCCTAACCCTTGAGATGTTTCGATTGTTTCGGGAGTGTCTTGAGGTGGCCAAAAGATTTCCTCCTCGAGAGCATCGGTTATTGAGGTGCTCACGAAGATCCAAGAATTGAGTAGGTGGAGCAAGTTCTCACTGGCTCTACTTTCTTGACAGGGATTGAGCCACTCCCAGTGTTCTTCGATGGTCCTGTGATGGTCCAAGGTAAAATGGCCAGCATGATAGCCACTGTGAGTACGGATGTGCTGCCAAGTTACCAAACAGTTGCTGCTTTCAATTTCAGAAAAATCCTCCTTAGTTCTTCCCATGAGTCATTGAATAATGTGGTGTTAGTTGACCTCCTACCTCAATGCTCCTAAGCGTTAATAGGTTGGCTGTATTAGAGTTAGCCTCTCACGAGTTACTACAAGTTGTTCAATTGGTGAACAAAAGGAAAGCTACACATTACATTAGTTGCTAAAATTGCTCATGTGTGTCGTGATTCTAAGGAGCGGGAGGAGTATTGTTGTTTCTTGCCTAGAGCTATTCTGGTTATTAGGCATAGTGATTTGGATTGAATGTTTAATTGATAATTGAATTTCCACAAATGGCGTCAATTGATGCTACCAAATATAACAATGAGGTCAAAGCTAGAACTTTCGAGGTAATGAGATTGAGAGTCCTTGCTGTCAGCACAAAGGGACCTTAGATGCCTCAGGGTGTGGTCTTAGGGGTGTGGACTACGGAAGTTAACTTAATTGAGGACTGGAGAAAGCTGAGGTGCCAAGGTGAGAAGAGTACAAGAGCAATTAAGTGTATAGGAATGCACAAGAAGATTACCTAAGGCCTAGAGTCTGTACTTATAGTTAAAGTTTCTCCCAAATTGGTGCGGTGAGCTTTCAGTAATAGTTCCGCCATGTTGGGTGCCATTATAGGCCATTAAGGTGATGACTGCATGGGCAAGCGTTACTCAATCATAAATGTGCAAGGGGGCTCGACCAAGGTCGTAATAATGCCTGCCATTATGGTGCTTCGTTAAGTTGCACTATAAGAAAAACAGTCTAAGGCGACAGTCATTGGTCCGCCATCTAAGTAGCTGTCGGCCTAGATCAAGACCACCACCGCCTTTGGTGACCGGTCCGGGGCAGTCCAAATTTCATTAACACGGCAGTCTATCAGGACTGCCGGCTTAGTGTTATTAAAGACAGTGTGTTTGACTTCCGGCTTAGGTTTTGTCAAAAATTGTTTGGTTACTTAGGCAACGGTTTGAACCACCGGCTTTGATCCTAATTGACCGCCACCTTTGGTCTAGTCCAACATCATTTGCTTTCTTAGGCGGCGGTTCAAACCGCCGGCTTAGATCCAAATGACTGCCGCCTTAGGTCTTGTTTATGGTTAATCTAGCAGTTTAATGACCGCCAGCTTAGATATATATACATTTTTTAATGTTTACGCCAGGTTAATTCCGATATTTATTAGTACATACACTTTTATTAATTCATCACTTTAATACATGCTTAACAAATAATTCATGATAATTGATACATGAAAAGTTAAGAAACTTAAATAAAAAATGCAATTTAAAACAAAATATATTAATTAATATACAAATCAAACTGTTGACACACAATATCCAGTTGACATAAAAATACAAGGGCTTTAAAAAATTCAGTTTATCGAATAAGGTTCACATCTTCAAAAGCAAATCCATATAAATTATTTGACAGAGTTAATGTAATCAGAAACATATAAATTATTAAAGAATGTAAAGTAAATGAGATAACCATAAAAAATGTATAAAAAACAAGACATTCAAGGAGGCATCCTAATTTAGGATTCTCATATCAATAAATGAATTATGCAACTAGTAAATTAACCAAATCAAATTGAAACCTCTATGGCATGACAGAGTTAATGTAATCAGATTGTAGCACATAAAAGCACATTAGGATGATTGGTCTGGATTTAATTGATAAAAAAATGTAAAATATTTCAAATAATGAACCCAATCTACCCATTTAAAAGTRGTGCTATCTGTATCCTTGTGCTTATATGACCCTATTTACATATTTCACTATCATCAATAGAAGTTTACCAGTTGCCAATATAAAAAAGCTTATGTGATGTCAACAAACTAGTGTTCATGGAGTTTTTTCTCTATTTCACCACTCTTTCTTTAATATTTCAGATATGAAATCCTTCTATTTCCCCTATATCAAGAGTGAATCCTTTTCTTCTTTACATAGAACATATATCCTATAGGGACTTTTCTCCTTCACAACCTACACCACAAGTCTCTTTTTTTTTCATGTACCCAATGAAGTATATACAGCCAGAAGGGCACCTCGGAAAAGAGCTCTTCACAATGAAGTATATTTACCATGAATGTATAAGATGAGAATACAGAACCTGAAGACACCTTTCCGATAAATGAAAGAAAATCTACAAAATTAAAGGAATTGAATCTACCAAAAAAACTTAAGAGGTATGTGGGTAACAAACCTGGAGAGTGAGACACAGCAGCTCTGCAAGTCTCTTCAATGTGATCCTAGAGTAATATTTTGACACGACTAATATGTTCTGAAAGCATATATGTCAACTAAATTAATTTGAATATCTAAAATCATAAAATCTTGAAAAATAATATGCCATATAACTGGATGTGCACAAGCCAATTACATGCTCAATAATTCTCTGTTTTAGATCCTCTGCTGCTTTCTCACCCAAATGACCCCCAAGCATGTTCTTTTCATTCTCAAACTCATCCTGATATGTCTCCAATTCCTTTCTGAGAAGTCAACTCTAACTGTGCCCAAACTTGCAGGATCTGTTGACCTACAAGAACGGAACAGAACAGGTATTTTAAGCCATTTTGAATGATAGCAAGTACCTTCTTTATGACTAGATTATATCTCCTAGATGCATGAAGTATAGAAAAAACACAATGAAATGGTAGGAAAAAAGTCCTTTCTAACAAAGAGAAAGCAATAGATGGTACCCCTTATAATGACACTAGACAAGCAATCTGTTGGATCATTTAAAAACATCAAAGTGCTGGCAAGGAAACCCCTTATAATGGGCTGATATGATGGTACTGCCTCTAAGTTGGGTGATAAATATAGTAGGGACTAGGGATATCACATCACATGAAATCCCTTTCATCTGCCCACTGATGTTTCAAAAATCAGGTCAGACATATTGAACCCAGAAAATTGGATACTGGGAAGCCCAGTTCTGGAGAAGTTATAGCTTCAAAACAGCTAAATGGTAATTCAATTGGGAACCAAATAGCTTTCCTGTTCAATCTCTGCTCTGATTTTCCGGACATTGATGATAACAATATAGATTGTGCATAACATAGAAAAGATAACAACCTCTTCAAGGTTTGTTGCACTATCTTCAAGTGATGCACTCAAAGACTTCTCTTGGATTCCCAATCTGGACTTTGGAGTTGAAAACCCAGTAAGGTTTTCTAACTTCTAGTCGTGTGAAGTAGGATTAGCAAGCCATTTGATAGGGACGCCTGTGTTCTTTTTTTACTGTAAATAAAACCTGCAAGTCAATGGGAGGGGGAAGATGACAATTAAAAACTGAAAATCGAAAAGTGAAAACTTCCTATATGGGGAAGTAAATGGAATGGCAAATCTCAGCAGGTGAACAATCAAAGTAGGTAATGAATCTTCCAACAGAGCAAAATAAATGATTTTCACAGAAGTTCTTAGTTATTAGCTATAACTTGGATAAAATATAATTTGAAAATTAAAATTTTCAAACAAGAGCAAATAAAAACTCTACAGAACCCAAGGTTACTTATTGCAAATTTGCAATCCAAAGCTTTTCTTGGGAGGAGCCTTTGCATCAAGCCCAATGACCATTAATTTCCAAAATCAAAAAATATGGCAAACAGATGCAGTTTTTACATTTTTTCTCAACTTTTTTACTATGATCTCAAGTAGTTGCTACTTGATACTTCTCTTCCTCTCAATTTTCTACTCTAGAGTTTTGATTTTTGAACACATCACCTCATCCCTTCTTATAAATCAAGACAGAGAGAGAAAGAGTGTGTCTATACGTGTAAGAACTATGAAGAATGCATGAAAAAACTGAAACGCGGTGCCTAGATGCAGTACTTTTTGACAGCAGCACTCGGTAGTCGGCACTCCACAGTGCAAAGTGAAAAGTGCACAAAATCCTTATATTTGTGCAGCCAAGAGTGAGGTCGGCCATGGGCATAAACCCACACAAAAAGGCATCATCTCTATGGTGATTGCAACTTTTCCTCAAATCTCAGGCTCTCACCTTTTCGTGTCTTTCCTAAGGATGCCTAAAAAAAGAACTTTGTATCGAGGATCGTGGGCACATGATGTTTGATGCTTGTCTGTTTTATTTGTTATTTAGTTCTTTTTAGTAGGTGTTTGGCATCAATGCCGATTTTTCTAAAATGGTGCCACATCAGCATCATGTAGTCTGAAATTTATTTTTTTCTAAAAACACTTAATGTTTGATTAACCATTTTATGAAAACGTTTTCTCAGACCACACTTTAGAAATAGGAAAAGGTGTTTTTTCTTCTTTTTTAAAGAGGCAAAAAAAAAAGAAGAAAAACTTGCTTCTCTGTTTTAGTTTTTAATTCCACACCGACCCACCCTTAATTGGCATGTAGTCATGCATCCAAATTCTTTCTCAAATCTAGGGTTTATCAAAGTGAACCCGATTACCCACCATACCAACAATTTGAACCCATATTAATAACTAGGTAGATGTATATTATCATCAATTAAAAATCTGTTGAGAGTATTAATTATATTTATAGAAACTTTTATTATGAAGAAAGAGAGCCAAAGAAGTAAAGCAGGCATTCCATATTGCCATGCCTACCATGTAGAGAAAGTGGATTTTGCTTCTCCACTTTTATAAACCTAGAAGACTTTGAAGAAAATAACATAAAACAAAAAAATTTAAGAGCAGCCGTGGATAGGTTGGAAATCACTAATTGCAAAAGTCAATTGCAAAAGAACTCATTCACTAATTGCAAAATACATGTTATGGAAATCACTAATTGCAAAAGAACTCATTCGCCTTATTCTTTCCAATAGCCTGGGGCCTTTTCTAGCATTCTTGATAAAACGATGCTTTAGAAGTTCCTTAGCACTTGGTCTCTGAAATGAAGATAGTAAAAGATATAAAATTAGAATTTTAGATTACACCTTAATAATGAATGAACATTTTACAAGGTTTCATTATCCATAAAAAAACTTCGTAGACATGTTATCTGGTTAATATATGATAAAAAATAGAGCTGCTTATTGATAGAGTGGTTCCACTAGGCCAAAAGACTGGAAGACTTTAATATACACCCATTACAGAATTACAGTAACATACAGAGTCCCAGACCATAATATGTGTCAACATGCATGGCACAACCATAATATATGTGTCCAAATTATACCAAGCCAATCCAGAGTCCCAGACCAAACAAAGTACATTGCTTGGACTATCCATGCATATAATTGCTATTAAATGATTGAAAAGTCCATATGATATACATCCATAATTCCATATCCATCATGTGGCAGCAAGAAAAATATGTACTAAGTACAAAACAGCCATGCCCACTGCACCTAAAACTTTTCAACAAAAAAACAAAAAACACAGGGAAACAATTTCTTTCATAGGATGGGAAAAATGTTCATCCAGCTGCACAACACAAACAAAATCACCACCCTTCAAAACAATGAAAAATGACTTTTCCATATGGAAAAAGTAACTCTACTCGACAAAGCCTTAATCCCAAACTACCTCGAAAAGTCGGAATGGTTATATGGCAAAAGAAAAGATTCATTGATTCATTTTCTAAAGTTAAACAACAGCAGCAGTCTATTTGATACATCAAAGAAAACAAACCTGAGGGGGGTTTTCTCGAGGAATGATGAAAAGAACCCTCACTGGGTGGAGATCTGCAAGTGGAGGTTCCCCTTTGGCCATTTCATTTGCAGTTATCCCCAAATACTAGATATCAGCCTGCATCAAGTAGAATCTAAATGCATGAAACAAGTGGACCAAGGTTCCGTGAAGCAAATAAAATAGACAACCCTTCTGACACTTACTTCTCATTGCATCCATCTGAATTTGGAATTACTTCTGGAGCCATTCAGAATGGTGTTCCTACAAATGTCTGCCAGATCTTAAATTTATTAGTACAAAGAGTTGACTGCTACACATAAATTATTAAACATTCCCATCTTATCATAAATAAAATAGATAATCCATAGCATAGTAAAGGAAATGCTAGAAAACTCCAATCCTGTTATATTTATCAAAGCATGGAAATAGCATGACCTTTCTTCTCGAGATTGTCCTTGTTAGTTGTGCAGAAACACCAAAATCAGCAACCCGTTATACACTTGAGAAATAAGATTAAGAAACTAGAATCATCCATGATAAACATCATATAATTTTCCCATGCCAGCCAGGATTAATAATTTTGGCTTTGTTTAAACAAAAAGGCATACCTTAACATCTCCATTCTCTGTCAATATAATGTTTGCAGCTGCCAAAATGATTGTAAGAGGGGTGTCATTAAAGAAAATGGTTAAAAGAAGATAAGACTGCATGTTTGAATCTAAAACAAGAACAAAATAAGGAATCGCAAATACTACTTTACTGAACATCAAAAAATAATTTGCTAAAGAGAATTTGAAATTGGTATGACCTTTAATATCTCTGTGAATCTTTCCTTCATTATGGAGGTCTTCGATGGCATGTAGCAAGTCGCGCAAAATGCATGCTATAGACATCTCATCCAGTGGAGGTCCTGCTTAAATCTACCAAACTACAATGTATGTTAGCTCCTACACTCCAGAAGTGCCTATAAAGAAGTTAAATTTCTTTACTCCTCTTCTCTTCTCTTCTCTTGCTCGAACGAACGAACGAACACAACCTCGAACGAACGTTCTCTTCTCTTCTCTTCTCTTGCTTAAATGAACGCCCAGAAAATCGCAAACCCTGGATTTTCTTCCCAACTTTCTTGCTTGTGAAGAATAACTTGTCTTATTCTTCAAAATTTCTCTGCTGGAAACCAGAGAACTGCTGTCTTGCTCGTGAAGTCTTTTTTTTTTTGGTCGAACAGGAAGGGGGAATTCGCGCGCGGGAGAAAGAAAATTTTCCCTGCCTGCGTTTCTCCGCGCCGGTCCATTGTAAAGTTAAACCGGTTTAATTCCGGTTCAGAAAATAATCCGCCGAATGTCCATTATAAAGTTAAAGACGAAGACCGCCGGCTTTAACTTTGACCGTTTTCCTCATGGTGTTGGGAAGGAAAATGATAAAGTTTGCCTTTGAGGCTTCTATGATGACAATGAAGCCCCCCTGGGCATGCCACGTGTCTAATTGCAATATGCTAGATGAATTTAATTATATTAGAACCCAAGGTCGAATCTTCATTCAATCCCTAACCGGATCAGTCTTGCAATATTGCATCACTTGTTCAAAGGCCATATTAATAGGTGCAAACTAATCATTTTATCATTTCTCTTTCTTTTTCTTTTTTGCCAACTTTAGTGCTTTAAAGGTTTATTATTTCATGCAATTTTTTGCTTAATAAAATCTGTTATTTAGGTAGAAGATTAAAAGCTTATTAGTTCAGTTTATCTGTCAACTCTATACCTTTGAAATGGCTAAATCTTGTATTAGTATTGCATAGATCAGTATGGATCGGTTTGATATTATATTATAACTATTGCATTGTGGTTGTCTATTGATATTCTATAAGAGTTCGCTATCAGGGTTAACCGTACCTCAATATGGTTGGGCCCATCCATTTATGTTGCATAATCCAATCCCTTTGAATTGATTCAGGACTGGGTGGAAATGATTCCAAACTGATAATAATTGGGATAATATATTAGGGATGGGAATCGATTCAATCAGTTTGTGTTCATCTGCACCATTGGGTTAGATCCAACCCCTTGACAAAGTCAGGCCTAGTTTTAACATGACTACAACTTCCTAGGCTGTTTTCTTATAGTTAAACCCATTCATTTAACATGCTAATGATGGTTTCAACCTTCTCAAGTGGGCTCCATTTATCTCTCATTTGAGTCTTAATTACACTGGTTTAGCTAATGCCTCAGATTTGGAGTTACTATTAATCAAAATGGTTTTAGTTTGAAACAATTCCATAAGTCTCATCACCTCTATTTCACTTGATTAATGACTGGTGATTCTAATCCAACATACGTGAATTATTTACACACATGATGAACCAAAAGATAGATAATTATACAAACACCTACGACTACAAAACATCAAATAGAACAAATTAACACACATCAACAACATCAACTAAGGGGGTTCTGAAGTGTGGATGAGAAATTGGTGGGGTATGTCCACACCACACCTTATGGCAGGGATCAATCCACACCACACCACAATCCACAGCTGTTTTGAACTATGATAGATTATATGGACCAAACCAGTTTACAACCACGGTGGCATTCTATATGTGTGGTGTGAATTGGTCCACACAGTACTTTTTTATTCCATGTATCTAATATACATTTTATGGGGAGATTTATACAGTCGATCACAAATTTTTAATTTTTGCATTTTATATGATAAATAAATTGAAAAAAAGGTATCAATATGTAGACAACAATTGCATTTTTTAAATAATTAAAATTATTATTTTAAATATTAAAAATTAAAATTAATATTTTAAATATTACTTTATTGATAAAAATATTAAAAAATTAATATTTAAATAATGATAAAAGAGTTGACAAGGATAACTGTAGGACTTGTGTTAGAATTAACATTAAAAAATATTATTTTATTGATAAAATATTAAAATATTAAAATTTAAAAATTATTAAAAGATCAAATAAAATAAGAGTCATTGGACCAATGTAATGTAGGTGCATTGCACTGAAATCTTCTCACAAATTGTCCACACTATAATATGGATCATTCACGAGAAAATACTGTGGATGATAAATTAAGGCGTGGCCCATCCTTGTCCACGCTATTTTGTGGACGACGACTGTTCACACATAACAGAACACCATATTTTACCAACGGTGTCTACGATATATACACACTACCCAATGCCACCTAATTTTCTACTATAAAACACATGATTTGCATCTCAATGGATTGATTTGATCATAAATTAGAAAAGCTAACCTGATCACCATCTATATACAGAAAAAAGAAACAAAAAAAAAACAATTTTTCAATAGTAATTAAATAAAAATTTTATTAAAAGAAAGGAAATACAAATAAATCCATCCAACCACAAAGAAAAGGCCGATCGAATATCAAACAAAACCGGGCCCCAGTGAACATATCTCAGTAGAAAGCTCAAAACTCACCCCAAGGACCTTGCAATAGGGAACCAAAACCACAATATGCAGATTAATGTCATTTGGCTTTGCTGATACTGTAGCAATCCGTGTCGACAGTGGTTCTTATATTCCGTTTGGACTTGTTCTGTTGTTCGTTTTGAAGTTTGAACCTCGTTTAGTATTTCTTTTTAGTACTGAAGTGATGAGCAGTGTAGATATAGATTTGACTAGTCGAGTTCGGTCGGAGAGATTATAAACACATATAACATAATACAAAATACAAGGTTTTGCATTTATAAATTTATATTTATACTCTTTCCTGAGCCTAAGAATTCGCTATCAGGGTTAACCGTACCTCAATATGGTTGGGCCCATCCATTTATGTTGCATAATCCAATCCCAATAGTCATGTGGTTATGGTTGTAAGTTTAATGTGTTGAATATTTTCATATTGCTGATGGTAATAAGTTTATTTTGTTGGGTCAGGTTTTAATTGATTCAGAACTGAGTGGAAATGGTTCAAACTAATAATAATTGGGATAATATATTAGGAATTGGAACCGACTCAATCAGTTTGTGTTCGTTGGTTCCGTTGGGTTGGATCCAACCCATTAACAAAGTTAGGCCCAGTTTTGACATGCTAGTGATGGTTGCAGCCATTCATTTAAAATGCTAAACCCATTCATTTAACATGCTAGTGATGGTTTCAGCCTTCTCATGTGGGCTCCATTTATTGGAAATGGAAAAATGGTGTCTAATTCTTCTTTCTTCCATCTGAATCTTACTTGGTTTAGTTAATGCCTCCGTTTGGAGTCGCTATTAATCAAAATGATTTTAATTTGAGACAATTCCATAGGTCCATCACCTCTGTTTCACTTGACTAATGGGTGGTGACTCCAATCCAGCATACGTGAGTTGCGAGCTGTTTTCTTACACTCACACATGATGAACTAAAATATAGATAATTAGACAAACACCTACAAGCCATCAAATAAAACAAATTAACTCACATCAATAACATCGACTAACTCTTTACTACAAGTAGACTTGTTTATAGGCCGGGTGGCCTGACAGGTCGGCCCAGCCTGGCCCAACCCTCGAACGGGTTTGAACACGCAAATGAGCTCGTGAGACAAAAAGCCCGACCCATAATAAATTTGAGCGAGACTTGGGCTTTGCAAAAATTGCCCGGCCCGGCCCGACCTATAGACTAAACCTAAAAACCCTAATATCCTAAGTAACCCTTCTAATTCATCTCTTTCTACTTTTCCAAATAGTCGAATTTCCCGGTGTCGAACCTCTCTTCTCTTCACATCCTCCTCACACTCTCAGGCAGTTGTAGAACCGACAAACATTCACCGGCGCAACAACTCCGAAAGACCAACGGTGAGTCTTCTCTTTCTCTCTCTCTCTCTCTCTCTCTCTCTCTCTCGTTCCTCTTCTCGCTTCTTCTCTTTCAAATCTCAGACACCGGTGAGGCAACGAACGTAGGCACCGGCGGTGGCAATGAGTCCTCTCTCTCTCTCTCTCTCAGACGCAAACTGACTCCACTTTTCACTGTCAAAATCGCAGCTCACCGCGAACTCAGCACCGACGGCAGTGGTGAATCCTCTCTCTCTCCCTCTCTCTCTCTCTCTCTCTCTCTTTCACAGACGCGAACTCAGCACCAACGAGCACAGTCATCCGCAATGAGTTCTTTCTTCTGTTAGATCGGGCTTCAGGCTCAGGCCTTAACAAATCATGTTTATGAAGAATAAAAGCCCGGCCCATGAACAGGTCTGACTACAAGACACATGATCTGCATCTCAATGAGTTGATTTTATCATAAATTAGAAAAGTTAACCCGATCACCATCTATATACAGAAAAAAAAAACAAAAAAAAAACTATTTTTCGATAGTGAATAAAAATTTTATTAAAAGAAAGGAAATACAAATAGATCCAGCATCCAACCACAAAAAAAGACCGATCAAATATCAAACAATACCTGGCCCCACTGAACACACCTCAGTAGAAAGCTCAAAACTCACTCCAAGGACCTTGCAAAGGAACCAAAACCGCAATATGCAAACCCAATACTAATTAAAAAGCACTGGAAGGAGTGAACCCGATGACACACTCGGCTCCTCTGAGATCCGTTATTACCATTTTATCCACATAAAAATAATCCAACTTTCTCAACTTATGACTTGCTGACAAATAATCCAACAAATTCAAACATGAGATTTCAGATCATTCAAAGATATTGGAAAAATATGTGGAGCGCACCATGTCGACGAAGAGAGGAAGTTGCAATAACAAAAACATAGTCACCGGAAAGGAAGCAAATGAAGCCAGCACAATGGAAATCCATCTTAAGTGACCATCGAGCAAGATAAAAATGGTGGCACAGAATGCTGCCATCATAGCAGCTAGAGAGACAAAGAGTGTAACAAGTCCAAGTATTAGCTTTCTAGGCAGAGATTCCAGAAAGGCTTCTTCTGTGTAGCGAGAAGTAAGAATGGAAAGGAACATGAGCACTGAAGTTGTGGAAGAAAACAGAGATAATGCATCTGATATCACGAATACCATGAAGGGTTTGGTACGCAACAAAAGGGGGACACCTTCGCTCTCTTTGTTGCCACCTGGCACGGTAAAGGCTGCAGCAAACATTATTGTGATGACAAGAGTAGCTACAATTGTGCATGAAGCTGCTGTTTCTTTCATCCATTTCTCTCCCTCGCTAACCAACTCTTTATGCTCTTTGCTAAATAATGTATACGCTGTCATTCCTTTCTTTTTTTTATATTCTCTAAAATATGGAGGCACCATCTTCTCCACTTCCTGTGGTGATCAGTTAGAATAATTTTTGAGTGAGAAGATGAAGTAAGAGAGAAAATATATAGTGTTAAAGAAATATTACCACAAACCATTGGAGCTCTCTCTGCATTTGTAGGGCTGCTCCAGGAATAAGGTTGAGGCGATTGGAAGGTGCTAACTCTCCTACCAAATGCAACATTGTGTTCATAGAAGCATCAAGTGATAACCCCTCTCCATCCCAAGTGGGCAACTTTTTAAAGAATCTGAAGATGTTCTCTTGCCGATTCGTGATTGCAATGCGTTGTAAACTGCTCAGATCATTATCTCTATACCGTAGCAGAAGAGGATAAGAGTGGAGAGCTTCGATGAAGAACTCAATGATCCCATTCTCTGCAGCACAGACTAGTGATGGCCCAAGTGATTCCTCAATCTTAAAGTGATCATTTAGCTCCAGGACTCGACTGAAAAGTTCTTTGAGTAGTCGAGGTGCTTGTTTATGCTTGATCTTCATGTCACGCAGCTTCTTGACATCTAGCATGCATGGAAGTTGAAAATTGTTTGACAATATTCTAAGTGGTGTTTGGTTTGTGATTCTGAAAAGGGTGGTATGGTTGATTTCAAAACTACACCATATATATTAATGTTGATTCTGAAACCATGCCATGTATATATATATATATATATATATTAATGATGGTTTCAGAACCAGCAATAACATACAGAATGGGTGATTCCGTATGTGGGGTGTTTTCGAACCAGAGGAAATAGGAACACAACTATGACCAGACCATTAATTAGTTGGTTTTTAAGATGGTGTTTGGAAGGGTGGGCGTTTTTTGGACAGATTTTCAAGAAAAAACATCCATGCTTTCAAGACCCGTTTTTTTTTTAAAAAAAAAACACTTATGCCATATAGGCAGTGAGTAACACTTGATTTTTGGTAAGATGATTCTTATCACCGTTTTTCATATATGTATTGACAGGTAAGCGCCATATAGGATACACATCAGTCAACTATTGGGAGCAATGGTTCACTGATGCATGAAACACCAAATTTAGCGTTTCAGGCATCGATGAAGTCCCATTTATGAAACATGCCTGATTTTTCAATAAACGCCTGAACCTTATTGAAATGCCTATATAAATCCAATGTGACACAGTTTTTTGAAAATCGATCACAGTTGCAAACATCACTAGAAGTAACATGTAATGTAACACAATAAGCATACATAATTGTCATTACCCAACACTTGAGGGATCTTCAACAATAGTTGTTCCACGCTCTGGAGCACTGCAATTTTAAAAAAACCAAAATAGGTTAAAATGAGTATTAATTAACTAACGTGATTCTATTGTTGCATCTTTAGATATAACAATAGCATGTATGGATTGGAATTAACCTCTTGTCATGATGACAAGGTAGATCCCTTGCGGGGAGCCATTGTGCTGCTCATCTGCCTCGTTCCCAGAAATGGAACGAGATCCAACGTGAATCCCTATATGACAAGAGCAGGGAGGTTAAATGAAAAGAATAGAATAGAAATGCTCATGTCTTCCCAAAGAAATAATCAATGGTATTCGATCAGTACTGGTGTCCAGTGTTTGAAATGTGATATAGTTTTAATTTGTAAGTCAGACAGAAGCCACTTGAGGTTTCCAACAATGACAGACACTTGCCACATGCTTCTGAAATTATACTCATCCCTCTGGTCATATACTAAATCCTTCTCAAATACAAATACTGCCCCCATTGGGTGGGCAGTCCAAACCCTACCTTCAGGTAAGGGGTCTCTGTTGGACTGGATTTGGCCGACCCGATCCAGCCCAATGTGAATCCATTATAAATGAGTTAGGTTCAATATAATCCAATGAATATTTTGGACTATTTTGGATCGTCCCAATTCAATGTTTGGACTGTTGACACTTATATTCTTATCTTATATCCATAGACTAGATATTGGTTCAATCCAATCCACTTCAATATAAAATTATTAAGGATGGACCAGTCCCAACCAATCCAATAAATACTTTGATTGATCTAATTCAATGTCATTTTGGTCTGTTCAATCTATCCAAATTGATTTTGGTTTTGATGGATCCAAAAGATTAGGCATTTGACAAGATAATAACTGCTTTGCATGCTGCTGGTTCTTATAGATGGAAGGCTAAAATGATATTTTTGACCCTAACATCTGTTTGACCAAGATAATAAAAAAATGAAATAATTGAAATATAGATTTTAAATGACAGAATAAAAATCAAAATAAAATAGGCAATAAAAGAAAAAATAGAAAAAAGTACTAAGTTAAGATAGAAAATATAGGAAAATAACAGAAGAAAATAAAATATATTTTTCTATTATCTTTGCTTGAGATTTTATTTTTCTTATTACTTTTTGCTTTATTTTTAGAATAAAATAATGTTGGGGTGAGAAGCGTTTTGCCTTAAAGGGGTGATAATGAGACTTTTTACGGATACTTTCATAATAAAAACCATTTCCAGATGAATGTAGAAATGGTTCCTAGCTATAAAAGAAGGTGCATTAAGTAATGCGGTTGCAAAGTAAAAGGGTGTTTTAGTAATAAGCAAACTAATTTACCCAAATATTTTCGGTAGGCCGCAACTCTACTTTTTAATTGATTAAATTATCTAAATAATGCATCGAAAATATAAATAAATAAATATGAGAAATTAATAACACAAGAAAAGAACATACAATGATAGATTTGTCTCTCCAAAAATCCAAGCCGAGCCCCACTTTTAAAGTCCTGATGTCTTCCTGTCAAAGAAAGCAGGGCTTTCTCCAATAATGATTTCAATTGAGGGTCGTTGGTGCTAAGTCCTGGCAAGCTTCGTGTGATATCCAAAGCTAAATCTGTCAAAAAAGGCAAAGACAAGAGGTAATTACATTGTGATTGTGAATTTCACAAATAAGCTTTCTAAACCTTTACATTTCGGGACGTTGGGTTTTTAGATTTTGAGAGGGGAAAATAGGGGCAGAGCTTGGAAATTTTCGTGAAGGGGGTCAACACCTAAAGTGGATGGGGGGAGGGAACATTGTATTACTAGTGGAGGATTTCTGGACCATAGTGTGAATATGGGAAAATACGTTTATCCGCATTTACCCCTATAACTATCCAACAACCAAATAGGACCTTGGAAGAGAGAAAACTAGCTGTGTTACATTGGGATAGCTTTGTGCTGTCTAAAGAGACTGTGATAGAGCCCAGTGTTTTCGAATGGTCATTGACCCGAACAGTCAGACCGTTTTCCTGAGAACCATTCAGGCAACTAATTCAATTTCATTGTTATGGTCTTGAGTCCTTAACTAAAAATTAACCGTTGACTTGGTCAACAAACCCAAGGCCTTGATTCTTTAGTGAGGCCAACAGGGCTGGCTTTATCAAGTCTAGGCCCATGTAGAAGAGACTACTAGATATTAATAGTTGCTAGGTGAATTAATTAAGGGGGTGTTCTTTCTTTGAATTTTTAGAGGGGGAAAATTGGTCAATCGGATTTTAGTTCTTATTGACCAAGAATCTCATGTTCTTTTTTCAAATTTATGTGGGGACCAAAAAAAAAGTTTATTTTCATAAATAATTTTTCCACTTAGGGGGAAGTTGCTAATACTTAAATAGGACAAAAATGCCATTTTTAATTATGAATTTTTATGTCTAAAATGACCATTACCTTATTTATATGAGAAATAAAAGAATATAAGTAAATGCACTTGCTTTCCAAAAAACTTAGCTAAATAACTACGTTTATCCAAATAAATAACTTCCCTAAAAGAAAACAAAACCTAAATGTAATATAATTAAAATATCTCGTCATGCATACCGTAGTTTCCCGCTACAATGGAATAGATTAGGTGAATGCCATCCTCGGGAGGTGGAGTTTGATGAGTCGCGGACTCATAGTAGAGAAACGAAGATACATGTTTGTGATTGTCACGTATAGCTTCGGTGAGCGCGGTGGAGGAATCGTCAGAGCGGATGGGTAACAAGCCAGGATTGTTGTCCAGCAATAACTTGACCATATCAAGCCTACCCCATGCCGCAGCAAAATGAAGAGCAGTACATCCGTAAAAGTTCTTTTGTTTCAAGTCTTCTTTTGACATATAATTGGTGATCAGGTTCCTCACAAACTTTGTGCTGGCTGTCGAAACTGCAATGTGGAGAACCGTATTCTTGTTTTTGTTTAACGGAGCATGCACGGCGTCTCTATCCCTATCCAAAACCTGCTTGGCACTTTCCCAGTCACCATTCAAGGCAGCAATGTATAGTGATGTGTGTAAATAAATGTGCTTCCCAACATCTTCTGCAAACAACGTAACATTGATCCATGTATTATATGTATAGTGATTATGTTTGGTTTGAAGGAAAAGCTAGGAAAAGGAAAGGAAAGATTGGAAAAATCAAACACAGCCTTAATCTCTTAGGATAAATGCATGCTGCATGTCACTATCAACTAAATTGACAGAAAACATTAACTCACTCCTAAAATCTCCTTTTTTTAATATATTGTATATAGATGAGAGGATGACATTTTAAATTAATAAAAATGGGTGGGGCAAAGCACAAATTAAGAAAGAAATGGTGGAATTAATGGTCCAACAAATTAAGTAAAGGGTAAATTAATTAAGGATTTAGAAACTTTTAACAAGATGCATGTAACAATCTCTTTTGAAGTTAATTGAGGGAATGTTAAGGGTTGAAATTTAATTACTTCTAACTACCTCGTCAAATATCTCCTTCTCACTAAACTTCTTTCCCAATGATACTGCCTAGAGTTTTCTTTCAATACTATCTCTCTCTCCATCTTCCAAATAAATGCATTTGATTTTCCATCAATTTTATTCAAAATATTAACATTTAAGTTAATATTTATATATTTAATAAAGATATGTAATACGATACAATTATATATAATAATCAATAATTAATTATAAAATTTATTATAGTTATAAACATGATTTTAAAAACCGGACGAGAAACAGAGCCATTGAGCCACCGGTAGCGATGGATTCAAGTCAAGCCAAGCCAAATATTTGGTTATGAGAGCTCATCTCGCCAATAAATTCTTAGGCTCGAGCATGAACTCAATTCGAGCTAGAGACTTGAGCTCGAATTTGGCTCGAGTCAAAAGCTTACAAGTTCAAGTTTGACTTCGTTTGAGCTCAACTATAAGCCAAACATTATATATATATATATATAATTATTTTTATTTGACATATAAAATTTATTATTATATATAATAAAAATTAGTTTATATATATAACGAGTCATCACAAGCCTAACAGGTTGACCTTTATTGGGCTCAAGTTTCGCTTGAAGCTCAATTTAGACTAAGCCGTATCGAGCTTTTCACAAATCAACTCCGAATAGCTCATGGCCACCCCTAGACACTGGTTTCTGGGTCAAATGGTCCAATCCCTTGGTTCAACCTCTGATAGAATGATTTTGGAGCTCAAAACCGGACCTGGACTAATGTCTGGTTCCCGAGTCAACCGGTCCGACCATCTGGTCCGGTCCGGTTTTCAAAACCATGCTTATAAATAATCAAGCCCATGCAATGGACAACATTTGCTAAGAGAAATTGAAGAAGTATCCCAATGACATTCTCAATTGCGCTGACTAATTCAAGCAATATTTATTGGGTTATGTCTAACGTGTCTAACCTCAGCCCAAGCTGCACCTACTTATTATAGCCAAATTCTGTATCAAGTTTTATTATTTTCAAATGGAATTTAAGTAAACTTTTATTAATGATTATTTTTATTAATAATTTAGTTTTTATTCGTTTTTATTAATAAAAATAAATAAAATTAAATTTTAAAACTTCATTAATGCATTTAACTACTGGGAAAATTACCAAAGAGATATGATCTTAATTAATTCCTAATGCCAACTAAAGATGGTTCATTGAAAAAAATATAAAATTGTGGTTTAACCACTTAAGAACGTAGAAAGATAGGAAGAGAATTTTCAGGAATTTAAAACAACTTGTTAGGGGAGAAGGGAAAAGAATGACAAAAGTTTTATCTATTCATGGGTTCACTCAAGGAAGATTTACGATGGCTAAACTAACAAAGAAAATTGAAAGAAGAAGAAGAAGAAGAAGAAGAAGAAGAAGAAGAAGAAGAAGAAGAAGAAAATGTAAGTTTACCTTGTTCCTTCAATTTATTTTGAGTTTCAATGTAAGTGTTTATGTACTCCCAATTCATGTTATACTCTTTTTCCAAAAATTCCCATGCTTCCTTAGCTGACTCGATCTCTTTAATTAACGAGAGAATCTCTGGAGCACATGAAATTTGAATTGCATGCAGAGCTTTAGCATTCATCTCCTGCGTCATTCCATCAGTTTCATTTTCCTGGATTATACCCCAAAGACCTTCCCCCTTCAAGTAGCTCTGCATTGTGACTTTCCAATCTTCATAGTTATCAAATGTCGATGAAAGAAGTTCAAGAACAATCAGATTCGACGTGGACATGGTATCCACCTTCTCACCCTTCTATACCAACATGCAAAATAACTCATAAATTCATTTGTAAATCAGAACAACAAATTAAGTAGCAGATAGAAAGAAAAAGAGCGAAGCAGGAAAAACAGTTCACAATTCATAGAGTTGACCAATTCGATATGGTTGAATCCCTTGAAGGAGCTGAGGCTGTCTAACTGTACCCATTAATCTGTAGGTATTTATACTGTATATATTTATACTTATACTCCTTTTAAATTGAGCTTATAAGGAAAAGTGAACTCGATTTGATGTGATGTTAGAAGAAGACCCAAATTTGACAACACCGAAGCTCTCGAATTTGTCTTCTGTATTATATTTATATTCCCTTACAAATGCATTGCCAACAAAATACGATTTCAATAACCTATTAACATGATTTGACACTATACATTTTATACGTGGCGCATTATAGTGGGTCCCAAGTCTCCTATTTTCTTGAAATAAAATCAGCCCCCACAAAATTGTCCCCTACAACGTCTCACATCACCTTCCAGCACCAACTCTGTTTCCAATACATGGCAGGGATGTGCTCTTAGAAGTTGTGGGGCTGATTGTCTGAACTCTGTTTTGTTGACGGGAGATCCTACCTCCCAACTTGAAATGGTAAATAGTATGCCTTGCGGGGCAATGTGAATTCCTTCACTTGGGACCCTTAACCTACGATAGATTCTTAGGCAACATTCCTCGTTTGTAGCCGGGATCTATTAAAACCGTGTGTATCTGGAACTAGAGGTGTAAAGTGGGCCATGCCGGGCCGGTAAGGAATGGCCCGCACAAATCGTGTTAGCCCATGGGCCTTCATGGGCTGTGCCACCCTCCCCAGTGAATAATTTGGGGGTCGGCCCGGCACGGCCCATAGCCCGGCTGTGCCACGGGCTGGGCTGGCCCGTGGGCCGAGCCTTGGGCCATGTCGGGCCATGTATTGGGCCAAAGTTATTTATTTAAAAAAATTGACAAAAAATTTAAAATTTTAATTTTATATAAATTTTGTGTATAAAATTGCTTATATATGCAATAATTAAATAAATTAGTATAATAAAATTAAAAAAATATTTATTTTATTAATATATTATATACTATATATTATTATATAATTATAATATATATATAAAATATATAAATGGGCCATGCCGGGCCGCAGCACGGCCCGCTCGGTTGTGCTGTGCCGCATGGTCGTGCTATGCCTAGCGCGGCCCGCAGACTGTCATGTTGGGCCGTGCCAGACTGCGGGCGGCACAACCCGATTTACACCTCTATACAATTCAATGTTTATTCTTTTAGAGTGTAGACAGAGATTTCATAGTACACACTCTCAAAGCATGAAAAATCCTTGTGGCTCATTGGAAACATCTTCCTATGAATTTAATAAACACATAATATAGGTTGAAGGGACTTGATAAATATTCTGAAAACCGTCGAAATTGGTTTTTAATCATTCTCAAGGGTAAGCTGAGGGTATTTCAAAATGTGTAAAAAAAAAAAATTTTTAAGTGCTCATTAAACGTGCTTACAACATTATGTTTACCTGATCCGGACTACTACGAACATGAAGAGAATAATCAAAGAGGCACCAACTTGATTGTTCGTTGTTTACTAGCACTACCAAGGTATTTTACAAGAACATCAGAAGTACAACAATGCAAGTATGCAACATTTGAAAGGGGTTTCCAAATGGTTGTGTTTGATACCATTACCACTTCTAATAGCAGCATTCTATATTGGTTGATACAAACTTTATAAATTAAATTATCGATACAACATTTGATACCAGTGTTATTTTCTCAAAAAAAATTCAAATTTGGTGTTGCTACTATAATTGCCAATACCCATTTAAATGCATATATTTTGTAGTGGAAGTGATTATTGGGTACGATGTGGTTGGTAAGACAATTTGTCAAAAATTTCTATATTAAGCGATGGAAAAAATTGCAAGTGCAAATGACAATCGTATTAAACACAACCATAATAAATAGACACAGATGATATAATTTCAATACTTACCAGAAGGATTCTCGTAATCGTTGATATTGCGTAAAGACCGAATTTGCAAGCAGATCAGTTCTCACTTAGTCTGGAGCAGTCCTAAATCTGGATTAAAATTAGCTAGGTCGTAGTCTATATATAGTTACAGGAAGCTTGATGAGAAGCTTTCAACAAAATAAAAAGGTTGGTTTTAATTTTCTTTTTTCCTTTTCAATTAGGAAGGAAAGACAGATTCCCCCACACTATGCTTAATCTTTACAGTTGGCTGTTGGCCTGTTGTTCCTTTTTTTCAGTTACATGTGATGCACGAGGCAGGGTGCCAATATACATATATACCACTCTTTCAAGGGCATGGTATTATTGCCGTGCGTTAAAGCCATGAAATCAAAATGGTATTATCCCTATCATCCATTTATATATAATATTTTTAATTATATATATAAATTGAAAGACAATTCTGGTGTGGCTGTATTTCAATGGCAACTCGGGATAGGAGCAAGTGGACACCAACTTACTAAACCTAATCGGCAGACCTACTCCCAAGACCATCGACTGATTATAAATTTATGAAAAGATTTTTTTCTACCACAAATTTTTTGAGTCGGTAAATAAAAATTCTCATTTTTACCTAAGGGGTGGATTCGAGCCTAGCCGAGCTGAATACTTGATTATTCAAGCTCGACTCATAGGAATAATGTCAGGCTTGAGCTCGATTCGAATTAGAGACTTGAGATCGAGGTAGGCTTAGTTCATAGTTTGCAAGTTCGAGTTTGGCTCAGCTTGAAGTTGACTATACACCAAGCTTTTTTTTTGAAAAATAAAAATTATATGTATAAAATTATTTTTTTTTATTTTTTAGACAAAAAAATTATTTAATACTATATATACTAAAAATAATTATAAAAATCATTTTCTATTATACATAAAAAATAAAAATGTATAATAAAAATGATTATAAAAATTATTTACTATTATACATATATATGTATATATATGTAATAAAAATGATTTTTAATACTAGGCTCACGGGCCTCACGAGTTAAGCTTCATTGGGCTCAAGCTCAGCTCAATTATCAAACAAGCCTAAGCCTATATATTGGGCTTGTGAAAGGCTCGGCTCATGGCCACCCCTATTTCCACCTATAGTGTTTTTGAAAACATAAAAAAAAACACCAATAATCAATATCATGTCAGGGATCTAAGTCACTTATCAAAAAAAAATGTTAGGGGTCTAAGTGAGGCGAATCGCACCACTTCTAGCTCAAACTAGGCCTAACCCTAAGAATTGGACCTAAAGTTCAAGCCTGCCTTGAGTTTGAGGTCAAGCTCAAACTATCCAATTCAAGCCTAATCTGCACTTAAATTTGATGCACTTAGGTTACATTTGGGCTCTAGTCTGGCTTGGGTTAGTCAATCAGCCCACACCAAAAATTGATAATGTATGTGTACATAGATGCATGTGTACATATACGTATGATTTATTAAAAAAAATTATGTATATATGAATGCATGCATGCAAAATATATGTTTATATATGACATATATAATAGGTTCGGGCATGGGATAGGATAAGGTTGGCCCAGGCTTGGGTCAAGTTTAGGCTACTTAAGGCTGGTCCTAAGCCCAACTCAAAAAATTAAAAAACAAAAGCCTGAAGTTTTGGTCCCAGGCCCAATCCAATATAAATTGTAGGCTGAGTTGGTATGAGCTCAGGTTCAACCTACCCAAATCGAACACCTATAATAATGGTTGAATGACTATTTTATATGATGTGACATGATACATTTCTCGAAAATTTGTATTGACCGACACTAAACATTTCAAGTAGAATTGTTAATGATAACAAACAACACTATCAGTCTATTTGTTTTTTCTAAAGACCAGGTAAGTGATATCCATCTCCTAGGTGAGTAAATAATTTTTGTCAATACTTAAATGAAACAAGATTATTCATTTTAATAATAAATTTTTATGGTTAAAATAGTCATTATCTTATTTATCTAAAAAAGAAAAAACATAAATAAATACACTTACATACTACCAAATGTTTCACAATAAACATTTACCCAGGTTACCCAGGTTACCAGGATAAATTACTTCGTGTTAAGGGAATGGGGCCTATATGTTCGCCAACGTGAATTGTTTTTCTTTTTGTCTAAGTTACCTAATGTTGTTTTTTTAAAATAAAAATACCATACACCTCTTGGTGGTTTTCTTCTATACTTCAAAGGCATACAATATTAATTCTGATTCATCTAATTATATAGGATTGAGTTGGAACCTGCTAATTGGCACTACCGATCTACTGGTTTTGGGCCTCAAAACACTGACCATGTTACTGCATTGGAGATCCATCCAGCAGTGGATCCCGTACAAGGATAATCAGCAGAACCCAAATGCACAAAGAGATCGGTCTTTTGATTCCTACAAGATGGGATATATCTGAAGTTCTGAACAAGTTATTTAATCGCATTGGTAAAAGCTATGCCTTTATTCTCTTTCCCAAACATCATTTGTCTGCAATCTCTGATCAAAGCAAAGCAAGAGAAAATGAAAAAAGAAAAGGAATGAAGACGTAAATTCTTTGATTGAAAACGAAGCAAGTGATCAATGTTTTGGTTGCGTACATCGACCAATAGCAGGAACATGCAGGGGGCAAGGTAGGTCTTATCCACTATGTCACGATTGGTCATGATTGTAGCTGGGTTAGAGTTGATGAGAATCATTTTGTATCCTTCTTCCTTGAGAGCCTTGCATGCCTGGGTGCCGGAGTAGTCGTACTCGCATGACCGACAACAATGGATACAACACCGAGTATCGTGATCTTATCCAAGTTAGTCCGCTTCCCCGTCGAAGACCCACTGAAGGAGTCATTCCTCAAAATCATTTCTTCTTGCAGCCAAGCCATGCTCGCAATAAACAGGGATAAGGCGATTGCGGGCCGTCATTGATATTGAATTCCATACCACTGTTGAATTTTCTGAATTTTCACTGAGAACGATCCCCCTCTTATGTAGTTGTACGCCATCACCGGTATTGAAATCCACACCGTTACTCTCAACTGTAGCAAACTTTATCACTAAAAATCGTTATTAATATTGACTTCTGATGCAAAACAAGGATGTTGGGTATGTTGAAAATCAACAACAGACAATATAAGGGTAGAAGTTTTTCACAAAGAGAGAGAGAGAGCACGAATGTGAAAGTTGCTATTTGATTAAAAAAATTGGTTTGGATCAAGCATATACCTGGACCGCTCCAGTAGAAAATCGGGGTCTCGTTGAATAGCCCTGGTGACAGTTGGTATCAAGTAAAGCTTTGAAAAAACTTGGAAGCTAGGGGATTTTATTAGTTGGGTTTTATTTTGAAAATGATAAATAATAAAGGGCAAAATTGACATTTTGTTTCCTTCCGTTAGTAGTTAACGATAATGACAATTGTTAGAAAATTTAAGGATACTGCAAGACAATAGCTAAACAGTAGGGGTAGTTTAAGAGATTTACCATAATAATAATAATAATAATAATAATAATAACATTGATAAATAATAATAATTTCAAGGAACAGTATTTCACAAAATATTTCCAAAATGTTTTTTCAATGCGCAAGTTTCACAAAAAATTAAAATATGATAATTTTAACTATACATATAAATCAATAATAGGAAATTCAGATTATCGAAGAAAATAAACAAAAAACACCACCAATATCAAATTATAAAAATAAAATAGGATGACTAAATTCAGATTTTTCAAAAAAAAAGGATAATATTAACTATAGTTTTAACTATACATATAAATCAATAATAGAAAATTCAGATTATTCAAGAAAATAAAAAAACACCACCAATATCAAATTTAAAAAAAAAATAGGATGACTAAATTCGAATTATTCAAAAAATAAAATAGGATAGTATTAAAAACAACACCAACTAAAATTCATGAAAAAGATCACAAATATTCACACTTGAAGAATTTATTCACACACATATTCATATCAAATAAAAAAAATCAATCATAATTGAATAATATATTCATACAAATATTCATTCAACTTCAGCAAATTTATGGACAAATATTCATCCAACTCATGCAAATTGTTTTCATGATTTCTAACAAAAAAACGCCCAAAAGAATTTTGGGTTTGTCAACAAAAAAAAAGTAAAACCAGATAAATAACCATCCAAAAACCCAAGAAAAAACCAAACATGGAGGGGAGGAGTTTGGGTGACCTCACCTTCTGGTCACCAGCGACTAGACGGTGGGATATCGCCGTTGAAGTTACACAAACACAGATCTATGACCAGAGAGAAAAAGAGAGTTTTAGACTTCAGAAAAATGCAAAAAAAAAACACAAATCGATGGAATACTAAGAAACATAAAGGTAAGAGCAAAACGGCAAGTCCTCCAACCGTTTTTTGCTCACCGTCAAATGTCGCCAGTGGACCTGCAATCAAACGATGCCGCTGCCTGTTGTTGTAGGGTTTTGAAGGGAAGAAGAAGATGATAAACTCAAATGAGGGTAATTTTGTCATTAATAAATCGGGGACAGGTTCATCCCATTCGAATGAAGCACTTCTTCAAAAAGTGTTGGAGATAGAGATGTAAAGTGGGTCGTGTCGAGCCGGCACGACATAGCCCGTGTAAAGTGCAGGTCGTGTCGTGGTGGCCTACGGGCCATCACGGGCCGTGCCGCCCTCCCCGGTGAAAAGTTTCGGGTCAGCCTGGCACGGCGGCGGCCCGGGTCGTGGGCTTGGGCTGTGCTTGGCTAGGCCACAGAACGGGCCTTGGGCTTGGGCCGAACCGGGCTAGACTGATATTTTGACATTTTTTTTGTTTTTTTTTTTTGAAATTTTTTATTTCTTTTCTAAGTAAAAGTGTAAAACTAAAAATTTTTACTTTCCTTTGAGATTTGGGAACTATTTGAAAAATTAAGAAATGAGAAATGAGAAATCTAACACATAAATGAAAAAAATACTTAACCAAATAAGAATGATGGAATAATAAATTGGAAGAAAAATAGGAATTTTATTTCATTTAAATTTTAATGATACAACTTACAAAGCATACAATGGTTGGATACTTGGATAGATGAAATATGAAAATGGAATAAATTAATAAAATATAAAAATATAATATAGTTACAAATTGAAAATACAAAATTACATTGTTAAAAAATAGCAAATAAATTAAATAAAATTAAAACAAAATTTACAATAAGTTGAAAAAATAAAAAAATTCTATACAACTAGTCAACTATTGTTCATGAATCATGACTTTCATAATCTACTTCAAGTGAAATATTTGGTATAGTATCATGCCCTCGTTTGGCTTGTAATCTATCTTCTACATCTAGTCAATCCTTAAAGCATATGCAAATCTCTATATTTTCATTGTTCATGCAGTTTCTCTTGTCCTTCAACACCTCAATATCTACACTAAAACAAGACTCCGATGGAATTGTAAGCATCAGAGGGGTTAGTAGATCACGTGCCATGGCGGTAGGAACTGAATAATTTTTTGAATGTTCACTCCACCAAGCTAAAATATCAAAACTATTTGTTCCCTCACCTAAACTAGAAAATTTTGCTTGTAAATAAAAATTAAGTTCAATAAATGAACATGTTGTAGAAGTAGCAGATTTCTGCCTTGTACTTATTAAATAAAAAAGTTTTTCTCTTCTACTACTGGGCTCAAGACCAGAAGTAAAAGATGTTGTACAAGTTGTATGATCATTTCCTACTGCTTCAGATTCATATAAACTGTACATTTCAAATAATAAATTTTTAATTTCTTCTTTTTATTTCCAATTTCAGTATTCATATTTTCACAATATGTTTCAAGTAAAATATCTAAACCATGTTTCTTAATCCTACGATCTAGTATTGTAGCTAAGCAATAAAGGGGAGAAATGTTCTCCCAATATTTTTTAAATTTATTTTCTATTATTTCAACAATACATTTACATTGTGGATTATTTCTATATTTTGAAAAAGCAATCACTAATCACCATTAATTGATAAGGTAAATTACAAATAGTTGGATCATAAATACCTGATAATTCATTAGTTGCATCATAAAAATGTTTTAAAAATATCTCTTATACAATCTACCATTTCCTAGTCTTCCTCAAATATAATATCATTAGACATTTTTGCATTATAAAATATCAATACGAATTTGATTATGAGAAATACAACTTTCTAATATAGCATAGGTATAATTACATCCATGTTTAACATTTAATATAAAATGTTTATATTTTATACCAAAATTTCAACATAAATATTTAAATTTTTGTTTTCTTTCCCCTGAAGTTTTAATATATATATATATATATATATATATATATATATATATATATATAATTTCTAATTTTAGAAACATGAGTAGAAATAATATTTAAAGCATCTTGAATACATAAATTTAAGATGTGACATGCACATCTGATATAAAATAATTTACGATTTAAACATGGTTTTAATTGAGATTTTAAAATATTTATTGCAAAATCATTATTGTTGGCATTATCATAACTAATAGAAAATAATTTATTATCAATTCCATAAGCATGTAAAGTATTTAAAATGCTTGCAGCAATAGCTGGGTCAGTATGCGGCCATTCAAGCCTAATAAAACTTAAAATTCTTTTATTTAAAAGCAAATTTTTATCAATTAAATGGCCAATAACACAAATATAACTTATGTTAAATTTAGAAGTTCAAACATCAGAAATAATTACAACTTTAGAATTAATATTTGATAACAAATAAATTAAATTTTGTTTATATGAATAAAAAATTTTAAAGAATCTAATCTAATAGTATTCGTAAAAACTTTTTTATATTGTGCATTTACAAAATGACATAACCATTTTTCAAATTTAGTATCTTCAACTAACAAAAAAGGTTGTTCTACATGTATAATGTATTTTACCGATTCTTGTCTCATTTTTTCTTGTGAATATTTAAATGTACCAAAAACCTCTTCCCAATTTGTGTTTGTGTTGTTTCTCTCCCTTCTTCTTTTTCTTCCTTCTCATGTATGAGCAAATGTCTACTTAAATGGCTAGTACCACCCTTGCTACAATAGATAAAGTATTTTCTACATTTTTGACAAACTACTCTTTTTCCCTTCCCCTCAACATCCTCTACTTTCAATATTTTTCAAACCGGGCTACTCAAATTAGAGGCCCTCTTTTTCTTTTCTCTAATATCATTACCAGGGGTGAAAGTTCCATTAATACCAATAGCATCAATGCTAACACTATCATGATACGACTGAATATCGTCAACAACGAACATGTTGGAAAATTGGTTTTGGGAAGAGAGAGACATTTTTTTTAAATTCTAAAAAAATAAAATTAATTTAATTGGACTTATCAGATTATCACTTCAGAATCACATCTTGATTTCAATGATTAAAGCCTTTCAACATCCAAGACTCCCAAATTGCTAACTTGAGATACTTGAGTTGGTTGAGCAAGGCTTATTCTTGTTGAAACTTCAATAAAGTTGTGAATTGGAGAATCAACCAATCAAACTATTAGATTTCGCTCAGATTGCAGAGAATGTATGAGAGAGAGAGAAGAGATTAAGAGAATTGTTGAATTGGTGTGATGAGAATGGTGGAGGATAGGGCTATATATAGGAATTGAAAATAATTCAATTACCCAAAATACCCTAAAAACTAGTTGTTTTTTAGATGTTAGAAGGGGTATTTTGGTCATTGTAAAATTATTTATAACTTTACCCAAAAAGTCCCCCTAAACTAGTTGTTATATAGCTGTTGGGGGGCATTTGTGTCATTTTCTCCCCTTCATAAGCAAAATACATAAATACCCCCCATATAGTTGTTTATAGCTATTGGGGAAAGCCTCCAAAAAGCTGAAACTAGCCATTGGGGGTCC